CCTTAAAAGAGGGAGCCATGTCTACCAAACACCATATTGGTAACGGCACGCAACTTTCCAAAACCAGGCGATCCTTGATAAATGAAGGGATAGTAGGTAATCTCTTCCCAGTCCCGATCCTACAGGTGTGCTAATAAGTTGTTATGAGAACCTGAGGCTGTTGTATTGACAATCCAGGTGTTACCGGTGTATGAATGGTTTATCAGACAGAATTAATGCAAGTAGAATATCAAAGCAATTCCACATGCCAAATTTCTCATTAAAGCAGGGGTCCCCAACCTATGGTCCACAGCCCGGTTCTGGGCCACGGGCTCTTGGCCAGTGGGCTTTGGAAATGGCTGGCCAGTGTGCACTCCGGTCCATGAGCCTGGTAAGGTTGGAGACCTCTGCATTAAAGAATGTGCTTGTTTGAAAAATGCTGCTCTGCTATCAACTTGGGATGCTTGCTCATAATATTGAAGAAGTATGAAAATGTCTCATCATATTTTGGCATATACTGTCAGGGATTTGGGTAATAAGGATAAGCAATAGCCTGCAAAAAAGTTTTATGTAGTTCTCTATTGGATTGCAATAATTACATATATGTGATAGGCAATATAAAATGCATGCTTTTCAAACATACATATGGATGCCAAATGTACAGTATATACATTTCTTTTTATATAATTTTTTTTAAAACTGCACCTAGGATACGAAAAAAGATGGTATAACACATATTTAACTCTTGGATCACACAATTGTCTTTATATAATTAGTGCTCAAAAATTTAGCACTGACTAAAGGAGTGAAACAATGTTTCAAGTATAATTGGATGGTCTCATTTATACATGAAACATCTATTTTAAGTTTACAATTTGGCACATTATGGCAAGGTCATAAAATATGCAATCATCACAGCATCTGATGAGGAAGTACTGCACACATATATCTATTTGCCTATTTTCTTATAAATTGATTACATACATTTTATTGAAATGACAATTTTACATAGAAACATGTAACAAAAACATGTTTGCTACTCGTGTAGCATGAGTGTTCTGTGTAAACCACATCTGAAAAATCTGATATATTTCTAAATAATTGATGGAAATGTTTATCTTTATCTTGCTTTTAATAAACAAAATGATAGTGATTAAAATGGCATTTTCTTATGTGATGCAAAAGAAACTTTGGGGCTTTCTTTTTTTTTTGCTTTTGCTTTGAATCCTAAATTCTGTTTGAGCACATTGGCTATTTCCATTTTTATTGTAATTTGCTGAGAACCTGCTAAAATATCCTAAAGTAAATACAAAGGGCATTGAAAAGGAAAGAGGAAGTGTAATTTTTGTTATCACTGAGATTTTCGTGGTTTTTATGCACATTGGGTACCATTGCACTTTTACTAACCTGTACTGACAAGAGTGTCACATATCATTAAGATAATACCAAATAAGTGAAAAAGAAGTAAAAAAAGAGCAGCAAATCTGATTTTCATTATTATGGTTATTGGACCTGTTGTGCATTTATATATATAATATTTATGGATAGAAATGTTTTGTAATATCATATAGAGTTCAACAGTTGAAAGGGACCTTGGAAGTCTTCTAGTCTAACCCTCTGCTCAGATAGGAAGCCCTATACCATTTCAGACAAATGGTTGTCCAATCTCTTCTTAAAACTTCCAGTGTTGGAGCATTCATAACTTCTGTAGGCAAGTTGTTCCACTGATTAATTGCTCTGTCAGGAAATTTCTCCTTAGTTCTAGGTTGGTTGTGCTTGATTACTTTCCATCCATTGCTTCTTGTCCTGCCTTCATGTGCTTTGGAGAATAGGTTGACCCCCCTCTTCTTTGTGGCAGTCCCTTAGATCAGAGCTTTTCAAAGTACCACCAGTGGTACTTTAGCACCTGGCAGGTAGCTCTAGCCAAGTGTAGTGGGAGATGGAACCAGCTAAAGCAGCGCCACACAGACCTGGAGGACATCAGCCGGAGCTGCAGAGCTTGGCAGAAGCCACAGAATTGGGGCATGTGGTGACCTGTTAATTGGAGCTTCCAGAATACCCAGAAGAGAAAAGGAGGAGGAGGGCAGAGAGAAGAGAAGTATAAAAGGGGCAGGTTTTGGCAGGAGAGGGAGAAAAAGAGTGAGAAGACACACTTACCAAAGCAGTGAGGAGAGACAGAGTGGGCAGCCTGTTTTCAGAAGAAGGGTAAGTGAGCAAACAGCCTGTTTAGTGAGCGGCCTGTTTAGCAAGTGATGTGTTTTCAGGTGAAGGGTGCCTAAGTGACTGGCGTGTTTAGCGACCGGTGTGTTTTCGGGGGAAGGGTGTGTGAGCGAGCGGCCTGTTTAGTGAATGGTGTGTTTTTGGGTGAAGGGTGAGTGAGTGAGCAGCGTGTTTAGCGAGTGGTATGTTTTTGGGGGAAGGGCGCATGAGTGAGCGGCCTGTTTAGCGAGTGGCGTGTTTTCAGGGGAAGGGCGCATAAGCGAATGGCCTGTTTAGTGAGCGGCGTGTTTTGGGGCAAAGGGTGAATGAGCAAGTGGCCTCTTTAGCAAGCGGCGTGTTTAGCGAACAACCTGTTTTCAGGGGAAGCATGTGTGAGCGAGTGGCCTATTTAGCAAGCGGCGTGTTTTTGGGTGAAGGGTGAGTGAGCGAGCAGCCTGTTTAGTGAGCTGCCTGTTTTGGGGGGAAGGGCAAGCAAGTGAGCTGGGCAGGAGCCCAGGATCGGTGCACGAGTTAAATATGAGCTTGTTCCTTTCCATGCAAACCTTGGCAGTTACATACAAATATTGATATTACTTGACTTTAAATCAAGGGATAACTTTATCCAGCATATTCACAATCATGGGATTATAGGTTGTCAAACCCTGCGAAGTTGATATTTTCCACTTACCAACTCTATGTTAGTGAATTAAATAAATTATATTTCCACTTGCTGTATCCAGAATAAGATAAATATAATTTATTTTTGTTCCTTTTATTTGAAATTGTTGCTTTTAATCAATTCATACAACCACATTATGTTAACTTTTTCCTGAATTTGTTAGTAAGAAACATGTTTTTGAATGCTATTAATTTTGGGACCTTCATATAAGGTCTTATGCTATTTTCAAGCTGGATTTATACCAGTTTTATAGCTGAGAAAGAACTGGTTTATCTTGGATAGTTTGCCATTGGTGAGTACATTTCTGGTGCTCTGGCTCCTGAACTCAACCCAGACTATCCTCACCTCTCCCAAGTTTCAGCTGTATCTCACAGGAGATGAACATGCAGAAGGGTGAAGAGTACCTTGGCAGCTTTGCAGTTCCACTATAAAAGCCATTGAACTTTTTTGGGGGAGGGAAGTAACCTCCAGAGAAATGTACTCAGTGTGAAAAGGAAATTTGAAAAGGAGCAAAACACTCTTTGAATGCTATTTTCTGCCCTCATGACAGCTGGAGGGAGCACTGATTGGCTCACAATTTCTTAGCTGCTACTAAGGAATTGAGGAGTAGGAATGATAGCAACGTGGAAATGCCCTTTCTTAGACTTTTAAATCTTATTTTAATAATGAAATTTATATCTTCAGTTTACTATAATTCAATAACTGTTCTTGTTAAAACTTATGTTGCTTCATTTTTCATAGAAGCAAATTGCATGTTACACTTCATCAGATCAGCACCATATAAGAAATTATTTTATTAAATTTATATAGAAAGCATAAGAATGAAAGGAAGACACTTTAAGTGATTACCAATATATGCCATCTACAATATGGTTCTAGGAGGAGGTAATAGTAAACATCTTCCGAAAATATTGGCCAGAAAACTGCATGGATTCATCTAGGTAGTCAGCAGGAATCAAAACTGACTTGAAGGCATATGCATCCAATATAGTGCAACCTTTTTACTCAGTATAAAAATAAATCTCCTTTTATAGTGGGTTGGTTTGCTTTTGCCTGTTCTTAGTGAGAACCAGTTTGGTGTAATGGTTAAGGCACCAGGCTAAAAACTGGGAGATTGTGAGTTCTAGACCAGCTTGGGCATAAAATTAATATGGTGACCTTGAGTCAGTTGCTCTTTCTCAGCCTTAAGGAGAAAGCAGTAGCAAATCTCTATCGAAAATCTTGCCAAGAAAATTGCAGGAAAACTTGTCCAGGCAGTCACCACTAGTCAATACTGAAAAGGGCACAATATAAATAAATAAACAAATAAAATCTTAGTACTGTGCAAGACAACCACTCTTCGTTGTTGGATTGATGGCTTCCATGGATCGGGATGCCAGATGTATGTCATGGTCTGCAAAAGAGAGGTCTATATGAATAGTGATCATAGTATATTTTGAAGAGGGTGAGGTGTAGAGTTCAGGGTGGTGCTGCATAAGAGGTTTCCTGCAAGACTCGAAGATTTCTGAGAAAAGTCCTTGATATTTTATGCTTCTTATGTAGCAGGAAGTGCCCATGGGCTTCCTTAAGATAGTACAAGCCTTTGGGAATGAAAAATGTTTCTGAAATCTATTAAGTTCTGATAGCTTTGTGGGAAGCATTTATTTCAATCCTGTTGAAAAATTTAAACTACTGTATGAACCTATGTTCAAAAGAGGTTTACTATTTTTTATAGAAATATTTCAGTGGAGTTGGAAAACTGGCAGCCTGCCTGGCTCCTACTTAAAAGATTATCATTCATGGAAAATAAATTTATCTAAGTAGAAAAAAGTCAAGGTTTTCATGTTTTACTGCAATCAAACTGATATCACAGATAATTTAAACTCTTGCCACATATAATATCTACAGATAATTAGTTACTTTAATCAATCATATATGTAAGACATTTTTTAAAGTCCGTATAAATACCTTTAAGATATTTAATAGTTCAGATTTTGTTCTTCCCTCCTTTAATATTTTATAATATTTTATTGAGCAACAGAGAACTTTGATTTGCATGTATTGGTGGTTTCATTTGGAAATGGTCTCAGTTACAAAATTACAGAAAGCCAGCATAGAACTGCAAACCTTGCTTTTAACATTCCCTTCTATTTTAATTTTATAGATAACCTGTAGTCTGCTCGCCTGTCAAGATGTGGAAATGTGCTGGCATTCCAGCTGAAGACATCATTAGGAGTGAGAAAATGCTCAAGGCCGTTTTTCAAAGTGGGCGCTGAAAGAGATGCTTTCCTTCTTTAACTCCAGGGGATGCTAAGAGCTGCCCCAGCAGACAGGTATTGTAAGGTCAGTAATTGTGTGTATGTGATTGTGTGTGTACGTGCATGTGCCCAAGTATTTATAAAAACACTCAGGATTTTACCTGAATTGGGTAAAGATTTTTTTTTAAAAAAAAAATAATGAAGATGCAGACACAGCAGAAAAGAAGGAATTGACAAGAAAGGATAACAAACTTGCCACGAAAGAGTTCTGGGCAGCACAATACTGGCAGAAGTGATTTTAATATCTGACAGGTTAAATTCCCTAATCTTTGCTATTGATATTGATGGGAAGCTTCATCTGCTTTTAGAGATTGTATCAGTGAAGACATGCTGCACTGCACGCATAACATGGGAACAAGTTTGCTGGAGATCACTGCTCTTCTTCCTCTGTGATAAAAATTGATATGAACTGTTTTAAACTGCTGGCAGATAATTACTCTGAACACTCAATAAAGAAAGCTATATCTTTAGAGTCTTCCTTTATCTTTTTTAAAAAATCCACTTTTTCATCCTCTTTTGTTTCTTTGATTACTTTGAGCCTTGTAATCAAACTAAGCTTAGTTCCTGGACCCTGGGGGCAGTATCTCTTAGTTCCCTGTCAAGCAGCGTTTCAAAACAATCAATCTTGCTCTCGCACTCTCTTGGTGGAAGTGCCACAACACGAAGAGTGCAATGCTTTGCTCTTGTGATGAAGCCTCAATGACAAAAGTTTTTATAAGCAGCTGACTGTATTTAGGGTTATGAATATGCAATGACTCTCATTAGTATTGAAGCATAGGAGCAGGGGTTGATATCCTCCCCCCCTTAGAGCTGCTGCAGAATTGTCTAATGAATTGTCTTGCTCGTTCACTTGCACAGCCTTTTTCTGTTGTTTCCCCCAGTTCCAAGGGGAGTTGCCCAGTTTAAGAATACTATTGACTGCAGAAATTAATTGCCAAGCACTGCTTTTGGTTTTGTTAAAGAATCTCGAAATAGTGCTTAAACTGTCAAAACAGAAAACATGTAGCTCTACGGGAGATAAACTCAACATGATGGAGGAGACCTCTGGACAAGCACTTTGCTCACAATCAACACAGGAATTTGGAAACATAGTCTATTTCCTCCATGCATACCTTCCCAAGCATGAAATTGACATCAGTAGCTGAATTTAAGTTGCAAGTATCTGATTTCTAGTTTGACTTTTTCATAGAAAAAAAGAGAGATGATGAATCTTCATATAATAACTATATCATATCACAGAACTATTTGGTGACCCTTTCAAGACTCTTTCCAACACTTTTTAATCTATACCAGTTCAATGTTTTGCTGTGCCTCCATGCGCAATCTAGCATGCATGTGATACAGATGAAAATGTTTCCAGCAAACTGGTTAAGATAGCCTCTTTGATGTAGAGCATAGAAGAAGCTTCAAAACACTCTTACATATATGGCTCAGCGAGATAAATTAAATTCTTCACTGTATCTTTTTTTAAAAAATCAACCTCATAAACTGACAGACCGCAATTATAAAATGATAAGTTCTAGGAAGGTACAAATAGGAGATCAAAAGTTTGAGAAGCTTCTTTATACATTTAATTTGTAATTAAAAGAGTCATATTTGTAGAAGAAATTGTTAATTTTGATTTATTTGTGGGATAGCAGACAGCAACTTATTTGCTTAGCTCTCAAACCACTTAATCATTGTATATGTATGTGTATGTGTGCTTTATACATACATTTTAAGAATAAACACAGCTGTGACAAATATGTCATACATCAAATACTTGTTTCCTCTGTCTCTTAGCTTTAGTGATTGTACATGACTATGAACAAGTAAGTAATAAAATCTGGAGAAAGATGAAACCAATCAGGACCTTTTTAAAGACCATTAATCATTCTGTGCAACCATGATATTATTAGCGCAAGTAAGCCTTGTTCTGTTTCCCCACCCCAGTTTCATCCTGAGAACAAAATTGCCATGGAAGTAATTTTATGGGCAATATCTTAGTAAGGAACCAATTAGATCTAATCACATAACATGTTACTGAATAATTCAATATTCTTCCTAAATTTGCATTATTTTTTATGTATTAGCCCATACTTCTAAAACTATATGGATTAAAATATATACCCCATCCTGTGATAGTAAGGAGACAATAGAATGTGATTTTACATAACCTATGTATCTTCTAATTATCATTGGCTTCTGCTGAAGTCTAGCACATGTGAATATCCATGTAAAAATATTTGGTTCCTGGACTTTTTCTTTAATTATACTACTATGAAATCTTAACTACTCCCAGCTGTAAAAACAGCAAGCATAAGAAAACCAAAAGTGAAACAATTATTTTAAAACAAAATCGACTATGGTATGCAAATAATAACCAGCATGCCTGGTAGATATTGTAATAAACCTTAGAATTGTATTATATGACAATATTTCAGTTTTAATTGCAAACTGAATAAAGATGATTAGGGATCTGTAATTCACACATACATTCCAACCTCATGACTGCTATGAAAATCCCACAGTATTTATAGAATGATTATCTGAATATCAGTTGATGTTTCTTTTTTCAAACAATACCTGTAAAATCTGATTTAAAAAAGAGAAAAATGATTAGTTCATATATTTCTAATATTAAAGCACCAGTTCCTTCATCTGCTCTAGTATGGACTTTAATCATGTTGTTTTAAATAATATGAAAGAGAAATAATATTTGTTCCAGATAGGGATGTATTAAAAAATATCTATGTGAAAAGTTGTAACTGTCCAAGGAATGGATGTCTGTGATTCATAAAAGATATATTTAAAAGACACTCTTTTTCTGAGCGTTTGGTTGAATTGGTATGGGTTCAAAATATGAAATTCTGATTTTACTGCAATGTGAAACAGCTGTTTGTAAAAAGTAGGGATAGTAGCAGCATACAGATGTAATTTGGAAGAAGCACTCTTCTATCCCCTTTGATACTTACTATGTATAAGTCTGTCATGTTTTTTAATAAAATTGGTCATGGTCTAGGGTTGGAAACAATTATTTTCCCCCATAAAACCTGTTATTATTTTGCAGTGCAGAAAGGTACAAAGGCAAGAAAAGGCAAGAAACTTTGAACATTCCTTGAAACAGATTAAAATTACTGTATTTAGTTCTGAATTTTTGAATATGACTTCTTTGCTTAGAACTATGAGTTGGATGAAAATTAAGAATTTAGTTCTATAGCTCATAACATAAAAGTGAGTTCTATTTGCATGATTATGACTTGCTTTGACCCAGCCTATATGAAATTGTGCTACCCATTGCTCAATGTATTTCAGAGAACACATTAATCCCCTACAGCAGATGTTTAGGGTGATTTAGAGTACTTTGAAACTGAAGCAACCTATAAGCTTAAGAAAATAAATTAGTAAAATAAATGAGTAAATAACATATATTTAAGGGAAAGAAGAAACTGCTCCTTTCACTTCTGCTGATGAAAAAGTTTTATCAGCAAAATTGGACTGTTGATTTGGAGTATATTATGAAACATGCTAACAATCTCTACACAGTAATATGACAAAATTTATACTATCATATTGGTAATGGTTTGCATCCAGTAATATCTGTTTATATGTAGGCAAGATATAAAGGTGGAAAACACCGTCCTCCATATGACCATGGAATTCCATAACTATAGTATTTATACTCCAGTGTTGGTGTTGGATCATGCTCTTAATACAGAGATCTATTTTGTAGCATACTAAAAGACAGTTGTATTATCTATATAGTTGAACAGAAGAATTGTTGGATATATGAAAATATAAACTTCCCCAGCATATTACAAAGAAAGAAAATGTGACAAGCAACTTTTCTATATGAGGACTTTTCTTCTTTTAAATGCAAAGAATACTTGTACATCTACCATTTAACCTAGACATGTGCTTTAAACCTATGTAGGATAGTTTGAGAAAAATTAAACTCTTGATTTTGTTGTCTTTTAGCTGGATATAGGACCTTTCATGACCACTTTTTAATGCTATCTGAGCATTGAATATTGTTCATTTTTTAGAGGTAAAACCATTCCTTGGATCTAGAGCAGGGATGTCAAACTGCCGGCCTGAGGGCCGGACATGTCATCTGGAAGCCGTGCCCACCCCATTGCCGGCAATGGCAAAACCGTCCCAATACGTTGCACGACATCACATGATGTCGCGAGTTTGATATGTCTGGTCTAGACTAATGATCTAGATTGGCACTACATATCATCTGAATGTGGACATAATACAAAAGTGACCAACCAGTACACCGAGTTGGTTTAATCATGGAGAAAGAATGGATTAATATCAAACTGCATAATAAATTTATGCAGGAAGGGTGAATGGGTCTAATGAGTCTAAAGGAAAGAGCTTTGGTTACATAGCACTGATGAGCCCTTGAGAAAGAGAGAAATGAGAAGTTACAAACAATTGACGAGTGATATTTGGATGAGGTAGAAACAAATAGGGTTTGGGTGTATACCTATGTGCCTTTTGCAAATTAATTATCTTACTGGTGAAATGATACATTATTGCATCTTAGTCAAATTAATATGGAGGAAAGTGATGAATTGGGTATCAGTGAGAGAAATTATTTATGTGAATGAATAAAAGCATACATAATTTTCCACAATGGCCAAGACATGTGTACAAAATCCCAAGGAGGTAATAAGGACAGTATGAGAGGTACACTATTATTTTCGAGCATCTTATATTGTGAGATATCATGCCTCTGAAATTGGAATTAGGAGACCATAGCCGGTAATCACAAGGAACTGTACACTCAATAAATTAAGCTAATGATGAATTAAATCAACTAACTAGTGCTATTATCCCATCTTGTGAAGCTGAATTTGATAGGTTAACTGTTCCAAACCAAAATGTTTCTAGTCTCTTTTGAAGATCAGCATATAATAGTTTGCCTACTAGAACTGCTTTGAGAAGCAGGTGGCTATAACTCTAGAAATGACAACCTTCTTTTAGTTCTTCTGATATTTGGTGACAGGGTAAAAATCATGCAAGGACAATACCTTC